TATGAGAAGAAGATTTCTGCAACTATTCAGACTCTGATGGTAAAACATGTCAGATACCTCATCAAACTCTGATAGCAAACTAGAATTCGAGATGAAGATTTCTACATCGCTAGTCATATTTTGATGGTATATCAATTAGGGAAGTATTCATTCATTCTGATTGTTTTGTATTATTTTATCAATACTTCTTGAAGTCTTGAACTCAGGGGAAGACCTTGAACAAGATTAAACAAGTTCTGAGAATAGAACTCAGGAGGAGATGCTTAGCTAACTCTGAAAGTATTTTATGTGATTAAATCAGTATAAATTGTTTATCAAAGTATATGTTTTTGTCATCATCAAAAAGGGGGAGATTGTAAGAACAAGTTTTGGTTCAAGATATGGCCTGATGATAAAATTAAATGGGTGATTAGATAATAATTTAGTATCCTAATGGTTTATTTAGTGTGTAGCTTTTTCTAACAGGTTTTGTCTCTGAAGAATTTACGTGTGACGTCATCATATTCTGGACTCAACACACTGAAGAATACAAGTTTGTGTTTCATAGCTTAGAATGCATCTTTAAAAAAAACGGTTATGATGAATGTTGGTTGTATTGCTTCTAACTGTGACTCTATAGTGGAGATTCTTATATGTTCTCGCCCAAGTCCTGAAGATTCTAAAGACAAGGTTTTGTTGAACTAGTTCTGAATATTCTGAAAACTAACGGTTCTCTAGACCAACTTTTGAAGACTCTGAAGACAAGGTTATGTTGAACGAAGTTTTGAAGACTCTGATGAAAAATGTTGTAAAGACTCTGAAGACCAAGTGCTGAAGACTCTGAAGACCAGATGCTGAAGACTCTAAAGACAAGGTTCAGGATGAATAAATTTCGAAGACTCTGATGACATGGTTCTGGAGACTTAACTTTGATCCTTTTATGCATACTTCAACCATTATACATCCAGAAGTCTCTGAAGATTAGAAGAGAAGACCAAAGGGTTTCATGTGAGTGATGGTATAATGTACAACATCACCTCGCCTCCACTACATTGTTTTTGTGGTGCAAAGACAGTACTTTTGTACTAGGTTGTCTATCACTCTTACTAACTGTTGCAAGAAAGATAACTACAGATTTCTTTTCAACTATAAAAGGAAGACATGGAAAAATTGGAATTGTTGAAGAACTTTTAAGAAACACTTATTCAAATTACTGAAACGCTGCCAAAATAACTCTAACTTTTGTAAAGCAAGGAGTTGTTGCTCATTAGTAAGAAACTTTTGTTCGTTAACTTGCTTAACACTTTTGTGTTATTACTTGTACTTCAATCTTGTATAATCTGCTTTTGAGAAGCAATCTTTTAAACACAAAATTTATATTCAACAGTGAGTTAATTGTTCCTTGAGTGACTAAGTGTTAGTCTGTATACTGAAGAAGTCATTGATAGTTTGTCTTTGAGGTTTAGTTCCTTGAGTGACTAAGTGTTAGTCTGTATACTCAAGAAGACATTGACAGTTGGTCTTTGTGGTTTGCAATAGTGATGGTTACTCTTGTTGCGGTTCTGTAATCAGTTTGGTTATAGTGAATTAAGTCCTTATTGAGAAGGCGAAATCACCTTGGCGGGTGGATTGGATTACCTTCGTTAACAATGAACCAAGATAAAAATAATTGTGTTCATTTATTTTTATTCTTCTGTTAAGAGTTGATGTTTAAGTTTCGAGAAATTTTATTTTGTGAAACCCAATTCAAATCCCCAATTATTGTATTTCTTGCACCTTCACACTTGAATCAGAGGCTTCTGATAAAATTAGATGAAACTTGATCAGAGTAAGTCTTCAATGCTTTGAGAAACGTTGAGTCTTCAAATCCTTGAGTTATTAGAGTCAATCTGGATAAAATCTTTCATTTGTTGACTAGATACTTGTAGAAGCAGATTGTTTGTTGTAAACACTTCTTTCTTCAATGATTCAGAGTGTGTTTTGATTGCATAAAGTTCATAGCTGCTTCGTTCAGAATCCAGAACTTCACTTGTCCAGAATCCATAACTTGCATGCTCATAGTTCAAAATCTAAGAATAAAATCTACACACTTAAACAAACCGTTAGATTACAAAATTGTTCTTCATACAAATGTATTTGTTATCATCAAAATTTCAAGGATTAGTTGACAGTGTCATTGGTTAATTATTCTGGTGAGGAGAGTTCAGCTGCAAATTCAGTGAGATGGACTTGGAGGTGTGTATTTATGCTCTATGATAGATCTGGCAATGTAAAATAGATTTTCAGATGGAGTGATGGAGTACATCCTTTTATCTTACTATATTTTGCATTCTTTTGATAGTGTGCTCCACGTTCTATTGGGCCTTGCTGACTGGCCTGAAACGGATGAAAATGGTTTCAATAACTTTATTTTTCCATCACTTTAGTGACTTTAATTAATTAATAACTCTCATATTAAAATAATATATTCACTAAATTATTCTCTATGATAGATTTCTTGTGAATAAAACTTAGCAAGTAATAACTTGGAAAAAAACTTGTTGTACTAATCATGAGAACGGGTGCATTCTTTGTTAAAGTTATACTGAATTTCTTTTATTTCCCTTCATTTCTTTCTAAAGTCTCAGGCTAAAGTTTCAATGACTTTTCTGCCAAAGGTAAAATGATCAACATTCATGTCAACACATGAACTCATTTCCACTTAATGTTTTCTAAAATCAAACCTTAGAACTTTTACTTCTTAAATGGTGAAAACTTGAAATTGAAATGAGTACATGTATACAAAAAGTACTAATTAGTTGCACCACTTTTTACTTGAATGGAATTTAATGCTTAAAACTTGTATTTTTGACAGCATTTTTGAGTGCACCCTTGGTTGCTGATGAAGTTGGATTGATGGCCTTTCGTATCTTAAAGACATTCCAAGCAGTGTTAGCAGCATGTCCTGCAGTTGCAAACACATGCTCAGTAGCTTCCCCAGCATTTTCCCCAAACCTGTTGTTCCCCAAGTATGATAGATGTATAAAAATGTAAATAATAATGTATTGATGACCAAGGCTTATTTGTTAGCAACAACAAAAGTATATTCCTTATAAGATTGAGTCCTCCCTTTACCTGTTAGAGACCATTCTTGATGCAGCTTTTGAGGTAGCAGAAAGAGTTTGTTTTTCAGCAGCTTCAGCTGCATCTAGAACTTTGTCTGCAACATAACAAGAGAAATAGAAAAGTCCAAAATGATGTGGCTATTCCTTATTTGAAAGAAAGAATATTGAACGTAAAAGGGTGCTGTCGCCAAGTGTTTTGACTCGGGTTTACTTACTGACTGCATCAAATGAAGCCAACAGCACCTCACCAGGTAACATCCTTAAAAATGCCTTTCCTGGTTGGGATTTAACCAAAGGAGCCATCACTGTTCCACTAACTATGCCAACACCATTAAGCAAAGATTTGCTCAACTTTTCTGTCATTTTAGACAGCTTCCTCACGCTACATTGCAACACAAAACACAACTATCATCAGTAACACATTATCATCATACTGAGTATTATGTGCTATATATGTGAGCTTCTCAGAGTCATTTTTGTATACCGTTTGAGGTTTTTATTGATCTTGTTCTTCTTCGAGGCCTCTGCGCTCTTGTTGCTCATGCTTTCCTTGGCCACAACACCGTTTTTCTCATCTGCGTGACTATTTAGGATCTTTTCTCCTCCTTTTTGAACCTTGTTTGTATAAGCATTGCTGCAGATGAAGATACCCTTCACAATCTGACCAGTTCCTCCTGCAATAAGCTTGGACAGAAAATGATTGTAATCTTCGACCCTCGGAGCAAACTCCTTCCAATCAAGATCATTCTTGTTACTCAACTTTAAGCCAGAAAAGCAAGAGTGTTCTTTCAAAAATGAGTCTAGAAAACTCAAACTTCCACAACTATCTTCCGAAAAGGTTACACCATAGCTAAGAGGCTCACCGTCTTTCACGGGCAACGAAAACAGGTAATGGAGAGCATCTAGCTTCACTACAGGCTCATCTTTAGTCAAAGGCCACTGAATTTCGTTTCCAACTTTTATAATTGTTGCGAGAGACACATTCTCCTCCAATGTTTTGATGACCATGAAATGGCCTTGAGCAAGTTCAAAAGCCTCTCCTTCATCCATCAGATGAACTTTACATCCTGGTATTTGTATCAGAACTTCTTGTTTGAGGTTCTTGGATCCTGCATATTTTTCGACAGTACAACTTCCCGGTATAGAGGTTTCCATTGGAGGCATAGCTGTGGAGCAATGGAAGCAGCACCCCATATCACTGCTTTCTTTTTCTTGAGTGGATGTGGAAATGTTAAATGCAGAATTTTTTATATAAAGGTGGGATTCTTTTGTTCTTTGCTTTATTCTGTTCCTAGTGAATGGTGCAAGTTTATATGACTTTCGGTGGAATGCATTATAAAGAAAAATGAAATAATATTGGGAGCTTATTGAAAAATGTGTAACAATAGTCTTATAGCTAATAGCATTACAGCTTGCACTCAACCCAGTGTGAATTCAAAGACTTCTTTGTATGGTTTTATTTTAAAATTTTCACATTGAAAAAGCTTCTTGTTTGTATTGTACTAATTCAAGGTGTCAGCAGAAATAACTCAGTCTAAATTTCGCAATTTTTTGTTAACAAATAATCTGACTTGTGAGTGCTTTGTTTTGGCACTCGAATAAGAAAGCGCTATAACGAGAATGAGATGAGAATGTGAATCAATCACTGCCTGTTTGTTTATAAACTTTGCAATTTTTTAGGACTGTTCCATATATTATATCACATAACAGTTACAATTACAAAATGAAGCCATGGGCAAAGCTTGCACTAAAAAATAATAATGGATTGAATGGGTAATGAAAAAATGGAACTAGGACTCCTACCATCATCTAAAACAATCAATCAAGAATTGCACCAAACAATAAATGAGATCAATGTGATCTACCAACACCCATTGCTTCAAAAGAGAGAATGATACAGCTGCTTGAAGGTTTTGCCTAGTTATCAAATTTTTTGGGTTGATGCCATTGTGCCAGAGTTCTGGACAAAGAACTGATGAATGAACCTTTGGCAGGTATCCCTTTCTTTCCGTATAAATGTTTCCCTCCCAAGTCTGTGAAAACTGGAGTCATATCCTTGCCTCTTTCGGTTCTTTCAATCTGCAGAGTGTACATTCAAATACTTTTTGGTTGAGAAAACAGCCGTAAAAGAAATCAAGTCAAAGACGACATAAAGCCCTTGAACAACATACCTTGATAATTTTTCCATCTTTTAAGTAGTACCAAATACCAGACCAATTGATAGATTGAGAAAAATGAGACTTGATTGCAGACAGAGGGTATAGAAAGTTATCCACTAGCAACGCAATGAACACCTGTGGGAAAAAAAACACCCTTTCTAACTTAAGCAACCAGTAATCAAGCACATTTCACGTCTCCTGTGGCATAACATTTTTATTTTTATTTTCATATATGTTTATAGATATTTACACAAGTACATGCATTGTTTACACTTAACCTAGGAGTTCGACAAGTTCATGTCAACCCTTGCCGTGGCAGGTATCCTGTGACAACCTATGTCACTTATTGCTTGCCAAGTTTGGTTCAATTTAATTTTTGCCTTAAAATATGTCTATTATCCCCACAAATATTGGCATTTTCACTTTTAGTCTCTGCACAATTTTGTCCTTTATTGGTCCCTAATATTTACAAAATCATTTGTTTTAGTCTCATCGCTGATATTGGGAAATACACAATCATTGTTGCCACGTAGAATTAATAATGTCACGTGGACTCCAACTCACTTCTATTTTCTTTCTCACCGACCAAACGTCATAGTTGGGAGTTGACGGGGTAAAGAGTGAGAGGCTGAAGGAGAGGGGGGACTTGAAGAAGTAGGTCTGGTGGTGAGTTAGTTGGTGTCCTTTTTGTACACAAGGCATTATTAATTCTACGCTGATACAATGATGTGTATTTCGATTGGCAATGTCATTGCCTGAACCTAAAAAGTATTGTTTTTGAAAATGTCAGAAAAGTTTTCAGGGGCCAAGAGTGGAAAACTGTTTATTTGTGGGAACTAAATAGGATAAGCGAATTAAATCTAGTCACATTAAAAACAAGCATGAAAAAAAATACTTACAAGACACCAATTATAGGCAGCAAGAGATAGTTGTGGTGCCTCTGGAGACAGCATGTTGCATAGTTGAACTTCTATCCTTGTCAAGTTCCACATAGAAAGAAGTTCCACAAGAGTGCATATGGCTAGGAAGCTCACCAGTGATAACCCTGGGAAAAGGCACGCATCAAAATGAAAGAACTGAAAATGTTAGAAGTGGAGATACAACTCGTAAAAATGGGAGAAGATAGTGTTATTTTTGGAATTAAATTTGACTTGTGAGAAGTGCATGTTTGAAAAAAACAAATAATGACATATATTACAGACAGACCAGATTTGTCTAATTTATTTTAACATCCCACAAACAAGGTCAGAAGGTGTTAAGATAAGAACATACTTAAAATTATACAAGTACTTATTTACAAATTTCATATAACACAAGTTCACACTAGTGCTATTCCTGAATGAAATAAACCCTCGGCAATTTTAAATTTATATTGTATGTTGAGAGCATAATCAGAGCTTCTAACACTGCAACTAAGTTGAACAATATCCCTTATTTAGCATCACTAACAACCTGCCTAAAAAGGAAAAGTAGTGTACTCACCAGCAGGGGTATAGGTCACTTCTTCAAGTGAGTATCCCAAACTATAAAATCTAAATGCTGCTACAAGATGAATCATTGCCATAAAGAACGGTGCTACAAATCCCCATGACAAATAGCAGTGAACACCAAACAATGCACGGTTCATCACCCAGTTGACGGTTGTTGTATATGACTCCAAAACAAATGTTTGTTTCCTCAAGTAATTCCAGTATCTACATAATTTTGAAGACTAAATCATAAAAATGGAAGGAAACTTTATTTTTCAGAAGAGTAATAGTCACAAACCTTCCAAAATTAAGATCACTGGCAAGGGGGTGAGGAAATACAGCAACTGGAGGAGAAGTAATAAGTCTTTTATGAGCCCCTGAAAGAGACAGCAAAGTAGTGATTGTTAGAATAATAGGATCAACTATCAGATAACTGTTTTTCAATGATTGAAGTGCAGTTATATATGATGATCAATATGTTTAAACTTTATACGATCGAAGTGATAATTACATCAAGGAATTTGATAAGAAAATCAAAGATGTACCAGCTATGGCTGCAAGAGTCATATCATCAGAATATCCGCCATCTTTAAGTCCCGAGACTACACCATAACGATCTTGCCTAAAGTCATCGGAATGCATCTGGAGAAAAACTAACAAGTTAAAATTAAGCTTTTCTTTAAAACGACAACTAAGAAAAGGCAAAAGCTACTTGCCATCATACAGCCTCCCCACAGAAAGAATGTTCTTCCACCAGTAGCAAATCCCATCGAACAAGGCTGTATAATAAAACAAAAGGAGAAAAGATTAGGAAAGAAAACGTTAAATAACATAATTACATATTGACATATTGTGAGACTGGAGGATAAAGGTTCAAGTTGTTGTGCTCTTGCAAATGCAAGTTAAGGCATGCAATAGATCCATGATGTGGAAACATCATTAAAGAATGACACATTATCAAAAGCCTAAATGAAAAGTTGTCTGATTAATATTGTGACATAAATCAAATCCAATTAGCAAACTAAGCTTTTATTCCTATACTTTCTTTCAAAACAACTGGAAAATAAAAGGAAAACCATCTTATACACAGATGTGTGCTGCAGAAGAGATCAGAGAATAAATAGATAGAGGTAATTGTTTACCATATGATATTCATAGATGCAGTAACTCCCTAGACTTCCAGATGGCAAATCAAGAGGATATCCAGTTTGAATAAATATCTGTGAAGCATCAAAATGGTTAAAACCATAAAAATAATTCAGGTAAGTAAAATTATAATAATTAGCATCAACACCTAGAAATAGAACAAGAGACAAAGTTTAAGTAAAATACCTCGGGGTTCTTCTCCATCTCACGAGTGAGCGCTCCTATTGATCCCGGATGTATCCTAACATCATCATCCAAAAACAATACATACTTGCTTTCTTTGTGCATTTTCTCCACCCCAACCTGCCAGTAGTCTAATATTAGTATGTAATACTAGTGAAGTTAGCAAAATGAATCTTAACAAGGACAGTTTAGCCGTCTAGTAAATGACCCAAACAAAATGTCGATATTTGATTATAAAAAAGTTAATATAGGTCCAGCATGCTGGTATTGTTGTAACTATCAAGTGTTATGCTGGGAAATGAAATTAAGTCTAACTTCTAGTCGATGAAACAACTAAGATCGTCACCATTTTCAACATAGATTTAAGTTGACTTTCAATAAATGTAGGGAACTAGTCAACAATAAAGCTATACTTTGTATTTGAAAGAACAATCAAAATATGTCAGTAAATTTCCATACCAATTGATTGTGAATTTTTTGACTACAAGTTGTTGATAAACCAGCTACAATAACCTTAACATCAACATCATCCTGCATATATCAAACACTTATCCAATTTAGTGAGATATGGACAAGATTAGAATATGCACCCAAGAAAGCAAAAAATTCAGGTAATGACTTGGAAGGAACAGAATCAAACTTCGAAACAGAAGTTTATCTGGTTCCAACGGGGTAACGGGGTATAAAAATCATACAGAAATCAGTTTAAGGTTGCAAAACTTAATAGCAAATAATTCAAAACATTAATGTATAAATGGAGGGAAATATGAACTTATTTATACCTCGAATTCTGATATTAGCCGTGATACTGCACGATAAGCAGGATCCTCTGTGCTTTCTACCACGAAAAGAAACTCTATAGGGCCACCATAAAGAGATGTTATCTGCATTTAAAAATTAATAAATAAAAGAACAGAACCGTAATGAAATTTTCCTATTAAATTTGAAATATGAAGTCCAAGTATTAGCTTTTATAGTTTGTTTTACAACCGACTATTGTTAACTATGCAGCAAAAATGAATAACCAGTATTAGGCCCAAAATGCAAGCACAACAACAACCAAGCATTTTCTTGGCTACATGGATCAAACTGCTGCATAATGTTCTATTAAAAAACCATGCTTTTATCCCAACTCATTAATTTTGAGATCTTTCTTAATAGTTTCTTTTTCTTATAGCTTTTCTAGGTCTTCTATCTCTAACGGTTAGACTACCCTCCATCTAATCTACTCAACTTGCTACAAAATACACAGGTCTTACATGTCAAAACCATCTAAAAGCATATTTTTCACCATCTTTTCTATTATAGATGTTACTCCAACACTTACTCTAATATTGTCATTTCTAATCTTATCTCGTCTAGTCTTACCACAAATCCAACGCAACTTCTTCATCTCTGCCATATATGATACACTTTAAATTAGGATTTAAAATTTAGGTATATGAAAGAGAGAAAGTATGTGAAATACACAAATTCACATAAGTTTAAATTAAATTAAAATTTTCCAAGTCATAATGCGCTATTCATGGAAGAACCAATAAGGTAGGCACCACATGTAAACCTAAATAAAAACAAAAATATCAAATAAGTTCCAGGGGAATGTGACATGAGTTTTACCTGACTCCTCCAGTTGTGGAGATTGTGTTCCCCAAACCCTTTCAGGGGCATAACCACTGTTACTCTTGGAAGATTGGCCTGATAGGAGTGCTCAAGTTCATTAATGTCGTGACAAAGGAAAGACAAACTATTCCCTTTCTTCATAGCATCCTTCATTTGTTTTATCTCTCTGTTCCTGTAAGGGGGAAACTGCATTATTTCTCATAGATGTGACAATGAAAGTGTTTCAGGACTCTATGACATTATTGAGTAATGGTACCTAACATAAGAAGCAAGAGCCCACCCAAGAGCAAGTGTTAAGCAAATAAAACATCCCTGCAGAGCAAACATAACATCCACGTTTATGATTATTTATCATGATATCTCTCTAAAATAACAAAGGTGATTACATACAAACCAAGATTACAAGGAAACACACGTTAATAATGATCATGCATGGTTCAATCAAACCGCAAGATCTATATATTTACTTAACACTGCTACTAATAGAGAATTTTTCAACCCGCCCTCTAAAAACACTGGGGTTTTACCAGAAGGATCCTTCCATTTGTATATTTTCTGTCAAAATACACTACCAGAAGGATCCTTCCATTTGCAAATCGGAAGGATCATGAGATTCTATGACCTTCTTAATTAATTCCATCTCATTCAATATTAATAATCATGCAATTTCACAATTCCAATTTGATATACAATGTGGAACTCCCCCTACAATGTTTCTTGTGTTGCAAGTATATTCTATGTGTACTAGAATTAAATCCTACAAGATATCTCACTACAAGGATTATGGATGTCAAATGCAGATACCTCACCTTTAAAAATAAAAATTGGGAATAAAGTCAGTTAAAAAGTTCCCTATAAAAAAATGAGAGACCAAACAGCTAAATCACATGCATTTAATGATAGCTAAATACCACCCACATCCTACAAAACCAAACCATTCATTCAATCTTCTTCATGAAAGCAACAGTTACATCAATATGAACCCAGAATAAATTCAAAAAGTAATGTACTTTCCAACAACCTCAAGTTGTTAAACCAAAAGCACAATATTAAATTGTCTACCAAAAATCTTAACTGGCAACAACCAAGTACCCCTGGCCCCTTTTACTACTTGATTCAGAAATCAAATCCCAATTATGTCACCACTTTGTAAACCTCTCCCCTCCAAAAAAAAACTTGTAACAAATAAAGTGTATGTTTGGTTTAATTTTGGAAGAGCCAAAAGTAATTCTAGAGGTATAAAATTAATTCCGCCTCCAAAATTGATTCTACTTGAAGCTATACTACATAGATTTTGAGTTTAAACGTGATTTTTACATTGAAATTTATTGTTTAACTCAATTTTACATAAAGTTATCCAAACATAAATCACTTTATATTTAAGACACTGGTAACCAGAATCAGTTTACTCAAAATCAAAATTAAAATTTTTTTTCACCGCAGAATGCAAAAACTACCGGCTACAACCCAAATTAATCATAACCAAGCAAAGTAGAGATGAAAAAAAGAAAAAACTCACAATGTACTAACATATCTAACTATAAACAAAACTTTATTTACTAACGAATAAACTTCAAGAATCAAATAAGAGTAAGATTAAACAATAATTATTCAAGAAAACGAGTTCAACTGAATTTCAAGTAAAAAAAAAAAAAGAGTGATAAAAATTCAGTGAAAATTAAATTAACCTAAATAAAGAACGATGATTGATAGAACCAAAAAAAAAAGTTAGAAACCTGGATCTGAATGTAAACGGCGAAAGGAGTACAAAAGGTTCTACTGAGAGAGAAGAGGAAGATATCCAAAGAAGCCATTGTTGTTTGTGTACCCTACTACCCCCTTCTCTCTCTCACTCTCTCTCTCTCTCTAAAACGTTTATCTGTTTCTCTCTCTAGAGTTGAGAATTCAGATAGGAAAGAGCGGCATTGATGAGAGAGAAACAGTAGTAAACTGGCTGGCAAGAGAGAGAAACCGAACAGAGGTAGTATTATTAGTAACGCTGCACGAAAGCTTCTTTTTTTTTTTTTAGAATATTCTCGTTTTCTTTTCCAAAACGCTTTCGCTTCTTTATTTTGACTGTATTTTTATTTTTGGTGAAAAAAAATTATTACAAGTTAAATTACATATATTACAAGTTAAATTATATATCATTTTATAATATAATAAAAGAAATTAATTATCATACACAGTCACTTAGTGTAAAAAAAAATATATAGTGAATTCAACACATTCATTTTTGTTACTTTAGATATGATTATAATAAAAATCAAACTTATGTAATAAATCAATGATTTAAATTAATATTATAAAATAGTTTTACACTGTTATGTATTACAATTAAATTCATATTAAAATTAATATAAAAATATGTTATTTGTTAAAATAAATAAATATTAATTATATATAAAATAATAAGTATTAAAATAAATAAATGTGAATTAACAAGTAATATTTAAAAAACATAAAAAGAATCTATATAGAATAAACAAATATCTATTTTGTTATGAAATAAATAAATATTTAAATTTATATATGTGGTTGGACTTGATTTCATACGAATAATCTTAAAATAAATTTCACCATATAAGTTTCAAAAAAAAAATTCTAAAACCATTTTAAAAAATTATTTTATTATATTTTATATTTTAAAAAAATAACAATTTCTAGAATTTCATCATTGTTATTAAACATATATGAAACATTGATTTAAATTACTATATTTATTTTTCATACAAAAAATTATTTGAATATATTTTTGTTTGATAACAAAATTTATTTAAGTTTTATAATATATATATATATATATATATATATATATATATATATATATATATATATATATATATATATATATATATATATATATATATATATATATATATATATATATATATATATATATATATATATATATATATATATATATATATATATATATATATATATATATTCCCCATCCTTACACCTTCTTAGTCACATCTGACGAAATTTTATTTCTACTACAAAAATTTGGAGATGCATTTTCGAGCACACCATTATTTATTTTTCTGAAATTATTTCTGAGATGCATTTCTGAAACTCTTATTTTTTTTTTTAAATCAGAGTTATTTCGGAGATGCATCTCTGAAATAGGTGTTCAGAGATGCATCTTCGAAATAGGTGTTTCGGAGATACATCTCTGAAATAGTGTATGACAGAAACCAATACGAACAATCACCCCATTATTCTCATTTCATCTAAAATCTAACTCTCCAACACCCAAAAACTTCAAAAAATCTCTACTTTCAAAAGTCATTCAAGTTGGTGTACTCATTTGCACTTGCTATAACTCACTCCAACTCTCAATTTCATCAGAGTTCAACAACTCTAGAAGCTTCAAATTTGAGAGTAAGTTCTTCAATCTATCTTAATCTTTGCATTTCTATTTTTAGTTGTTTAGATTATGTACAAACTGAAAAAAGTTTCGTTTAAGGTGTACAAATTGGGATTTGGAGTAAGATTGATGATGTTAGGTTGAAGTTTGGAAATGGAAGTCGTAGCTTTTTTCGGAGATGCATATCCAAAAATCCCTCTGATATGTTTCGGAAATGCATCTCCGAAAAAAGGGCTGGATTAATTTATTTTTTTTAATTTTTAAATATTGTCTTGTTCGTTCTTGTACCTTTGATTTGATTAACGATCATTTGTTTTCCAAAATAATGACAGAGAACCCCAACAGACTAAGACTTAGTAGGCCTAGTCAAACTGCATCCACTAAACGAGAAAGAGATGAGCAGACTACGAGTCGTCGAGGACGCGGTCGGGTACTGCGGGTGGAAGTGGAGGGAACATCGACTTCTGCTATTAGGAGTCGACTTTCACGTGCGTCATCGTCTAGGGATAACGAGGATGAGGAATCTGAGCGGGTTCAGGTTCCGAAACCCGAAATGGATGATATTCTGGAACTCAAGGAGGAGACTAACTCGGGTTTTGCAGGAGGATCGCCTAACATCTCCCTGTTAACCTATTACAACGATCATGTTGTTCGATATATTTCGGAGGATAGGTATATTATTATTTCTTACACTTTTAATTTAAATTATTTAAGTACTAATATGTTAAAATTGATATTAATTATTTATCTTTACAGGAACGTAGACCACTAAAGTGTGTGAACCACACGTAAAAGATATCTGAGTTGTATCACCCTGATGAGGCTTGGTTTAAAGAGGCCATTTTTGGCTCCGGACTTACGGGTCTTTGTTGTTCCGGCTATAGCACCATCAGCCACGACATGCACTGGATATTTGTGAAGAGGTGACACAAGTAGACATCATATTTCCACTTATCTGTTAGGGAGATGACAATCACACTTGATGACATTGCCTGCATGCTACACCTTCCTATCAGAGGGAGGTTACTTAACCACTCTCGGATCAATCAAAATTTAGTGATTGAATGGATGGTCGAATATCTTGGAACTGGTCCAGAAGAGGCATCTATGCAGTGTTCCTCCATCAATGGGACTCTTGCCAAGTTCTCATTCCTTAAGGAGCACTATGACCAACACCTCTCTGCGACAGTTGCTTCCCAGTCAGAGGGAGACGACTTCTTTGTTCTTTATCACCGTCAATATGCTATGAGATGTTACTTTATGTTCTTGGTTGACATGTCCATTTTTATGGATAAAAGCGCCAACTACGTGAATGTAGCATACCTTCAGTACTTCATAGATTTGGATACAGTGAGGGAGTGAAATTGGGAGGCTGGCTATTTGGTATACTTGTACCAACAGCTGAATGAAGCCTCTAACTGGAGGACACAACACCTGACAGGCTCTGTTACACTGCTGACTGTAATTATCGTTCAAACTATTAAATTTAATTTAGTATTAATAGAGCGGATGACCATTGTAGAGCGGATAGTTAGGGAGACAGAGAGTGCAGCGGGATACAATAGACAGAGGAGGGGACAGGGAGTGAGGATCAGGCATACACAGTTGTGGGATATGCTTTTTGGGCTATGTTTTTTTATGTTTTTTTTTTTAACTTTAGAATAATTTATGAACAATTATTTATTAGTTTTTTTAATGTTGAACAAGTTATTCGGTCATGTATCATTATTTATGTCTTATCATTTTTCATTTACGTTTTTATTATCGTTTTCAACTAATTATTTATCAAGACATTGAGAATTTAAAAAAAAAAAAATCATTGTCCAGGATTTCGGAGATGCACCTCTGAAAACCTCAAAATAGGGTGTTTCGGAGATACATCTCCGAAAATATCACTGCATGTTTAAATATAACGTCCAAGTCTAAAAAAATTATTCCTTAATTTAGGATGCCGTTCACAGATGCCCTTCCGAAAAATATTTTCGAATTTTCAGAAAATTTTCTCCTCCGATAAAAGGTGTACAAAAAAATTCCATACATATAAGAGTCTCTTTTTTAAAATTACATATAGATTAAATATGATTTAACTACTCAATTTACATTTCTTCTAATCACTATCAGAAGGAACATTGATTTTTTAATTTATATATAAATTAAATAAATCATTATCCATTGAAATAAAAAAATAATTTAATTTATGATTTAATTAAAATGTACCGACTATATAAATAAATTTTATATTATTAATTAATCATAACCGTTGAATTATTTAAAAAATTTAGCTTTAATTTTAATTTACTTTAAAATAATAAATTGAGTGGTCATAATAATTGATGGTATAAATTTTTTTATACTAACAATACATAACAATTAAACTCTTTAATTTATAATAGCAATAAAAAATTCAAACTCAAATAATGATATTTTTTTAAAGGAAATATGATAATATTCTTATGGATATTAAAGAATCCAATGAGTCATAAGCAAAGCATCCTTCCACTTATATTTTGTTTTTCTCTCTCTCACCATCATATTTTTTAATCTTTTTCTCTGTTTTTAAATGCTCCCTCCCTACCATTCAACTCTTGCTTAGCAAGAAAAGATCCTAATATGATCTTCTTTTATATACAAATCGATGAGTTTTAAAAGAATATTCTACACAATATCTCTTTTTACTATTTTAAAAGTGGATTTTAGTGGGATTATATAAACGTTGCTTTATAGTATGATTAAAATGGAAAATGTCAATTTTAGTGTTTCTTTTTATTAAGCCAACCGTTGGATTGGTAGTTGCTTGTTTTGTAGAGAATGGCAGAGCAACATGCATGCAAGGTGTCACGTGCTTATTCGTAATAATAACCATTTGTGAATAGTAAATCTTGCATGGTTCAAAAAACTCACAAGTTAAACACGTTACATATGGGCATATCCAACCAAAGATCGACAACACATGAAACATTTTATAATAAAGCAACAGTGTATTCAATGTGTTGATGTGACTCAATTTCTTCACTTCAGACTCCCCAAGATAGAAAACTACTTATATAACACTATTTTCTCCAATTTCTTGCAAGTAAAAATCTCATTTTCTTTTCTACTCCTTTTTTTTCTTTCAGGATTTGCCTCAAGATTTGGAGACAGTATATAAAAATATTTACAAATCATTTTCTACTCTTTTTCTATATAATAGTATTAATAAAGAATGTGTTTAGAAAAAGGTGATAAATACATCTAAAAATAACTAGAAAAATTATTAGAGGGTAATTTAATATTTGTCATTTATTAGACATTCTCATTATGGCCTATGTGGCATTCTTATCTTTGCTACTTTGTGTATAAATAGGTGTACTAGGTTTACATTTAATACAATCAATTCCTTCAATCATTAGTGGCAGCCTTTAACATTTATTCATTTCTCTCTTCTTCCTCAATTTCATCACC